TTGTTCCTTTTACTCTCCTGTGCTGAGTTCCTTTTGTTTTGTGGATTTTTTTTTCATTTCTTCTGTTTTTGTAGGTTTTGTTTTTACTGAGACTTTTATGTTTTTCTTCTTTATTTTGATAAGTACATTTGTTAACTTTGTGGTTACCTTGGAATTTACCCTTATCTTCCTAGATTTGAACCAGTCTATTATTACTTGGTATTGCTTTGCCTTCCTATTAGAAGATTCTATACCTGTACTGTTCATTACCTCTTTTATTTTTCTGATGCTGTTGTCATTTACAGATTAACCTCTCTGGTTCCCTGTCGTAATTCTTTTGGTTTTGCATAGTCCTTAAGAGTCCATTTCCTAAGTTGGTAGCTGGCTAGGACAATCCTGTGTCCTAGATTCAGCCTGTGGTCTGACGCTGTTTGTTCTCAGATTGAAGGACTCCCTTTAATACGTCTTGTAAGTTTGGTTTGGTTTTTACATAGTCCCTTAATTTCTGTTTATCTGGAAATGACCTAATTTCACCATCGTATCTTAATGAGAGTTTGCAGGATATATTATTCTTGGCTGGCAATTTTTTTCTTTCAAGGTTTTATATATGTCATTCCATTGTCTTCTTGCCTGCATGGTTTCTGCCAAATAATCCGAGCTTAGTCTTATTGTTTCTCCTCTCTATGTGACTTTTTGTTTTTCTTCAGCTGCTCTCAGGATTCTTTGTCTTTGGTTTTAGTGAGTGTGATTATGATATGCCTTGGTGATTTTCTTGTGGGGTCTATCCTATATGGGGTTCATTCAGCTTCTTGGATGGGCAGCTCTTCATCTTTCATGATACTGGCAAAGTTTTCTGTCAGAAGTTCTTCAATGATCCTGTGTTTTATGTTTTCTCCCCGTTCTGGAACTCCGATCACTTGAAGATTTTTGCTTTTGATTGTATCCCACATAATTCTCAGAGTTTCATTTTTCTTTGTTCTTTTTTCTGATTTTTCCTCAAATAGAGTTGTAGCCAAGTGTTTGTCTTCAATTTCGCTGATCCTATCTTCCATCGTTTCAAACCTGCTCCTCAGCCCTTCTATGACACTGTCCATTTCTGAAATCTTGTTATCTTTTGGATTTCTAATTGTTGTTCTTGTATGGTTTCCATTTGTGAATTTATTTTAGCATTTTGTTCCTATATTATTTTTTTGAATTCTTCCATTTTTTTGTTTGTATTTTCCATGAATTTGTCTATTTTTTCCTCATTTTTGTCTTTTTGCTTAAACTCGTGGATAATTCTTAATATTAGGGATTTGAATTCCCTATCAGTAAGGTCTAGGGTGTTTTCTTCTACTGGAAGGTCATCTGGTGTTTTATTTTGGACACCTACTGGCACCATCCCATCCTGTTTTTGTAAATGTTTTGATATCGTCTGCTGTCTTCAAGGCATTCAGTCGTTATTCTTCTCATTTATTGACTGTACATTTGTTTGTTTCATCCTGCTTTTTTGTTTTATTTGGTTATGTCTGAGCAGGCAGGCTGCATGTTCTTTCCTAGTCTGTGGGCATGATACTTTTCACCTCCTTCTCCAATGGGCAGGGTCAGTCACTCAGGTATGGTACAGCAGGTCAGGTCCAGCTGAAGGGGAGTTCCTGGGATTGGTTGGTTGTGGCACATACCAGGACAGTACAGACCGGGAATCAGTGCAGGGCAGGTTCCAACAGACCATGCCTGTGCTGCTTGGGAGTGTGATGTTCAGTGCACGGTGCAGGTAGGTAGGAAGGAGGGGGTAGATTGTGATGTGTGGGGCTAAGATGGGTATGGGAAAGAGGAGAGAGAGGAGAGAGGAGAAAGGAACCGGAGCCAAAAACACACATACAAAAAACAGTGCTAAGGAAGCTCGCTATTGGAGTGGAGAGATGAGAGACTGAGAAATGAGGAAAAACAAAAATGAAAAAAAAAAAGAAAAAGGGTAAAATAAAAATGAATAAATTGAGAAACTGGAAATGAAGAAAGACAAAAAGAAAATAAGAGAAATACAAAACAAAGAAAAAAAAAAAAAAACAAGAAAAAAGAAATGCCCCTAAGGATGTCCCTATGAGTCTGCGCAGAGTAAGGGAGTAGCTTCCAAGCCGCACGGTACTGCCCAGCTAGAAGGGGCTCCTAAGCCGAGAAAAAGAAAAACAAAACAAATTGGAGCAAACCAACGAACAAAAAAGCCCCAGGGGTCCTACCAGCGTGGTGGCATGGGCCAGGAAGCAGTTTAATAGTCAACTGGTGTTTCGCAGTCTTTCAGGAAGAAGCAAAGATGGCGCATGGAGCCAGGTATTTGAGAGAAAGGAGGAGGAAGTGGTGAGAGATAAGGAAGAAATTTAAAGAAGCGGAAAAAAAGCAACACCAGCAGCCAACAAAAGGCACTCACGGAGCCGGCCAGTGTGGGTGGGTCGAATCCAAGCGACACCAGGGTGCTTCCCATCCAAGAGACTGTGGCTGCAGAAAGCAGAGGCGGCTAAGTGGGGGTGAAGAAGGGTGGGGAGTGGTAAAGCCTGTATCACTGGTTACCGGTTGTTCTGTCTCCAGCTGGAAGCTCCGTGAAGCTGCTTTCTCATATCCCGTTTGCTGATCTCCGATAGGAGTCCAAGATGGCAGATCCATGCTGCAGTAGCTGATAGGGGACCTCTGCATGTATCTCTTCTCACTCTCTGTTCTCGGTCAGTTTCTTATTCCATCTGGTGCTTGGCTGAGTTCTCTGTTCATTTGAAGCTTAGGGTTTCACAACTGATGTGTGACTCTGTTTGACTTCATTTTTCTGATCTTTGCTGTGGAGGGATGGCGTGGTGCTTCTGCCTATAGCGCCATATTGCCCAGAAGTCCCTTTTTTTTTAAAGTGGATTTTTTTTTCCTCAATTAGAAAAGACAACCTGTTGTTGCATGATTATGTAAACATACACACATGAATATGGCTATATTTGTATACTTACATGATCACGCAACACAATGTTAACAGGTTATCTTTTCCAATCCAGAAAAAAAAAAAAATACATACACATGGCTATGGCTATATTTACGGAGCCTTGGTGGGGCAATGGTTAAGTGCTTAACTCTAACAGAAAGGTCAGTGGTTCATATCCACCAACAGCTTCAAGGGAGAAAGATGTGGCAGTCAGTTTCCTTAAAGATTACAGCCTTGGAAACCCTATAGGGCAGTTCTACTCTGTCCTATAGGCTCACTGTGTTGGAATCAACTTAACGGCAACAGGTTTGGTTTGGCTTTCCTTTATGGCTATATTTAAAAAGAAACAGATTTACATCCTATATTTTTTCATGTATACGCTGTAGCCATCTTTCCATGTCAGTAATTATAGACTTACTTCATTTATCACTGTATGGATATACCATAATTTATTTAACCAAACCCCTATCAAAGACCATTTTGGTTGTGTTATAAACTCTCTGGCAACAAATACCCTCACATATATATCTTTTACGCTTGCCCTTGGGATAAATATCTACAAGTGGAATTGCTGGTTTAAGAGTGTGTGCACTTTAAATTTCAATACATACTGCCAAACTGAACTTGAGCAAGGTTGTACTAACTTATATTCCCAGCAACCAGCAACCAGCAACCAGGCATGAGTTCCTGTTTCCCCAAGCCCTCACAAGCACTAAATGGTTTCATCTTTTTAATATTTGTCAATCTAGCCAGCTGAAAAATGGTATCTCATTTCTGTTTATATTATTGGATTATAAGTAAAACATACGGAAAAAGTCTTTTCTCTGTATGTTTTATTGGTCATTTGTATTTATTCTTCTATGACTCTGGCCCATTTTATTTTTGTGGTACTTGCTTTTTCTCCCTATTGATTTGTAAGAGCTTTGTGCACATTAGATATATGCTGAATTTATTTTAATGAATTTGTCATCTATTTTTTATTTTTGTTTACAGTGTTCACTTTTTTTTTAGTTAATCCATCGCACCTTTTCCTTTGGTGTCATATTAAAAAAGCCTAATTATCTTCTACCACGTTTATTACTTTCGTTTTTATGTAAAAATCTTTAATCCATCTAGAATTAATTTTGCTACCTGGTAAGAAACAGACTTCTTTTTTTAAATAGTTAGCCAATTGTCCTTTGTTATCTGTCCTAACGCTATCCATTCCCACTGAAACCTAGTTCTGTTTCTAGACTTTCTAATCTCTTCTGGGCTCTCCCCAACAGGAACTCTGCTTTGCAAATGGGCTAGGTTTTTCATTGTCCACAATAGGGTATATGTAAGTTGGTGACTATATTCAAATTGTTGCCCTTGGATGGAATATCTGCCTCCTCTTTCTCTCCACAGATCCTGCAAAACAAAACCATTAATGGGGTACAGAGAAGAGGTAAATGCTATTTAAAACAAGAAATGCCTTCAAAGAGGGAAAATACTGTAATGATTCAGAAGGGTCTACAGATCCTTTGTGTGGCTAAAGCACAGGATAAAGTTTTTTTTTAATTTATCTGGGTAATTTTTTAAAAATATTTTATTATATTTTAGGTAAAAGTTTAGATAGCAAATTAGGTTCCTATTTAACAATTTTTATACAACCTGTTCCCCATGACATTTTTCACAATGTGTCAACATTCTCATTATTTCCATTCTGTTTGTTCTGTTTCCATCAGTCTAGCTTCCCTGCCCCTCCTTAGCTTCTCATCTTTGTTTTAGAGTAAATGCTGCTGACCTTTTGGTCTCATATAGTTGATTATTAAAGGGAGCACAGTATTCATGGGTGATACTGTCTATTTTATAAGCCAATCTATTGTTTGGATGAATGGTGACCACTGGGAGCGGCTTCTGTTCCAAATTCAAAGGGTATCTTAAGGCAATAGTCTCGGGGAGTTCCTGTAGTCTCTCTAGGTCCAGTAAGTCTGGTCTTTTTTAAGGAATCTGAGTTTTGTTCTACATTTTTCTCCCTTTCTGTCTGGGACCTTCTAATGTGTTCCTGGTCAGAATGGGTCAGTAGTGGTAGTCGGGCACCACCTAGTTCTTCTGGTCTCAGGCTAGATGAGGCCATGGTTCATATGGGCTATTAGTCCTGTGGATTAGTTTCTTCTTTGAATCTTTGGTTTCCTTCATTCTCTTTTGTTCCAGACGAGTAGAGACCAATAGTTACATCTTCAATGGCCGAGGATAGAACTTTTTATTCACTGAGTGCCTCAGCAGGCTTTGCACATACAGAGGTGAACCTGGAGTTGAGTTTAGGAAGAAGAGTTAGAGAAAGGTAAATTGCTTTGAATAATAGAGTTTAAGAGGCAATTGGAGTTCCTTGTGGAAATATAGTAAGGAGGGTTTGCAGAAGAGACAAGGATAAGGTTATATGAGACCAAGGCCATATACATGGATAGTATGGATAGCCATTAATCCCCAAATGCAGTAGTGGGCAAGAGAACTTTAAGAAGCAGGGAGAGCCAGTATTAGAATTCAAGTTGCTTGTTGTATTGCAATGTAAACCCCTCTCCATTACCCCAAACCTTTAATAATAAACCACGTATTACAGGTAATTTGCTTTTCAAAGTTTGCTTTACACTGCTTTCCTTTTACAAAAGACCTACATTTTATGAAAAGAGGCAAAAAGTGGAAATAGCGTTCGGCATTTGTTTTGCAACGAGTCCTTAAAGAGGCAGCGCACCCCAAGCAGCGAGAGTGGCATGGGCAAGATCCTTTCCTGGGAACTACACTCAGTATCTCAGCATCAAGCTGCCGTAGCTTTGAACTGTGTCTGTCAAACTACAGTGTACATACGCTATCATTTCTACTTTATATAAGCTGTGTATTTATCATATCATTCTGCTTTGACTATACGTCAGTGTTATTTTATATGACTTGGTAGGTTATTTTTTGGGTCTAGGAATGCTCGAAAATTTTTCCCATACAAATTAATTAATGGTAATTGCTTCTTCACTTTACACCATTTTGGCTTATGAAAAGATTTCACAAGAACACTCTACTTTCAGATAGTGGGGGAAACCTGTATCCCCTTGTTCTGTATGAATGACTACCTCTTGGTCTATGCACAGGTTCCATATGAGCACAATTAAGTGATCTGGAATTCCCATTCTTCCCAATGGTATTCATAATTTGTTATGATCCACACAGTTGAATGCCTTTGGATAGTCAATAAAATACCGGTAAACATCTTTCCGGTGTTCTTTGCTTTCAGCCAAGATCCATCTGACGTCAGTAATGATATCCCTCATTCCACATCTTCTTCTGAATCCAGCTTCAATTTCTGGCAGTTCCCTGTTGATGTACTACTGCAATCATTTTTTAATTATCTTCAGCAAAATTTTACTTGCATGTGATATTAATGATATTGTTCGATAATTTCCACATTCCACTGGATCACCTTTCTTTGGAATGAGCACCTATATGGATCTCTTCCAGTCGACTGGCCAGGTAGCTGTCTTCCAAATTTCTTAGCATAGATGAGTGAATGCTTCCAGCGTTGCCTCCATTTGTCGGAATACCTCAAATGGTATTTCGTCAATTCCTGGAGCCTTGTTTTTTTTCCAGTGCCCCCAGTGCAGCTTCAACTTCTTCCATCAGTACTATCCATTCTTGATCATATGCTACTTCCTGAAATGGCTGAATGTCCACAAATTCTTTTTGGTACAGTGACTCCGTGTATTCCTTCCACCTTTTTTGATGCTTCCTGAGTTGTTTGATATTTTGCCTATAGCCAAACCCACTGCTGTCAAGTAAATTCCGACTCACAGCGACCCTGCAGCACAGAGTAGAACTGCCCCATAGGGTTTCCAAGGAGTGGCTGGTGGATCTGAATTGTGGATCTTTTTGTTCAGCAGTCAAGCTCTTAACCACTGTGCCACCAGGCTCCTTTGCCCACAGAATACTTCAATATTGCAACTTGAAGCCTGAATTTTTTCCTCAGTTCTTTCAGCTTGAGAAATGCTGAGTGTGTTCTTCCCTTTTGGTTTTCTAACTCCACGTCTCTGCAGATTTCATCATAATACTGTACTTGGTTTTCTGGAGCCATTCTTTGACAGTTCCTGATCAGCATTTCATCATTTCTTCCTTTAACTTTAGCTACTCTACATTCAAGAGCAAGTTTCAGAGTCTCTTCTGACATCCATTTTGGTCTTTTCTTTCTTTTTTAATGACCTTTTGCTTTTTTCAAGTATGATGTCCTTGATGTCATCCATAACTTGTCTAGTCTTCAGTCATTAGTTCAACACGTCAAATCTGTTCTTGAAATGGTCTCTTAATTCAGGTGGGATATACTCAAGGTCATACTTTGGCTCTCATGAACTTGTTTTAATTTTCTTCAGCTTCAACTTGCTTGCATATGAGCAATTGATAGTCTCTTCCACAGCCAGCCCCTGCCTTGCTCTGACTGATACTGAGCTTCTCCATCCTGTGTATTCCATCCAGCAAGGTCCACGTGTAGAGTCGTCGTTTACGCTGTTGAAGAAAGGTATTTCCAATGAGTAAGTCGTTGGTCTTGCAAAATTCTATCATGTGATATCCGCTGTTGTTTCTATGACCAAAGCCATTATTTTCCAACTACTGATTCTTATTGTTTCCAACTTTTGCACTCCAATCACCAGTAATTATCACTGCATCTTGACTGCATGTGTGATCAATTTTAGACTGCAGAAGCTGGTAAAAATCTTCAATTTCTACATCTTTGGCATTAGTTGGTGTGTAAACTTCAATAGTAGTCATACAAACTGGTCTTCCTTGTAGGCGTATGGATATGATTCATCACTGAGAGCGATGTACTTCAGGAAAAATCTTAAAATGTTCTTTTTGATGATGAATGCAATGCCACTCCTCTTCAATTTGTCATCAAAAATAGCCAATACTAGTTCATTTCAGCTCTCTAATGCCTAGAATATACATCTTTATGTGTTCTACCTCATTTTTGACAACTTCCAATTTTCCCTGATTCATACTTCACACATTCCATGTTCCAATTATTAATGGATCTTCACATCTGGCAGTTGTTCAGACAGAACAAGGGTATACTGCATGGTTTACAATCAGAAAAGGTGTGCATCAGGGTAGTATCCTTTCACCATACTTATTAAATCTGTATGCTGAGCAAATAATCTGAGAAGCTGGACTATATGAAGAAGAACGTGGCATCAGGATTGGAGGAAGACTCATTAACAACCTGGGATATGCAGATGACACAACCTTGTTTGCTGAAAATGAAGAGGACTTGAAGCACTTACTGATGAAGATCAAAGACTACAGCCTTCAGTATGGGTTACACCTCAACGTAAGGAAAACAAAAATCCTCATAACTGGACCAACACACAACGTCATGATAAATGGAGAAAAGACTGAAGTTGTTGAGGATTTCATTTTACTTGTACCCACAATCAATGCCCATGGAAGCAGCAATCAAGAAATCAAACGACATATTGCATTGGGCAAATCTGCTGCAAAAGACCTTTTTCAAGTGTTAAAAAGCAAAGATGTCACTTTAAGGACTAAGGTGTACCTGATTAAAGTCATGGTATTTTCAATTACCTCATACGCATGTGAAAGCTGGACTATGAACACGAAAGACTGAAGAAGAAGTGGTGCATTTGAATTACGGTGTTGGTGAAGAGTACTGAACTTACATGGGCTGCCCGAGGAACAAACAAATCTGTCTTGGAAGAAGTACAGCCAGAATGCTCCTTAAAAGGAAGGATGGCAAGACTTTGTCTCACTTATTTTGGACATGGTATCGGGGGGCCCAGTCCCTGGAGAAGGACATCATGCTTGGTAAAGCAGGGATCAGAAAAGAAGAGGAAGGTCTTCAAATAGACAGACTGACACAACAGTTGCATCAATGGGCTCAAACACAGCAACGATTGTCAGGATGGCACAGGACCAGGAAGCATTTCGTTCTGTTGTATATAGGATCTCTATGTACAGAACTGACTTGACGGCACCTAACCACACCACCACCACACATAAAGGCTTTGGCTGGGAGATATCTGAGTTCTACATCTGGGTCAGTGTGAAGAGAAACAGAGACACATGCTTGAGACGGTAAGGCAGTCCATAATCTGAACTAATTTAGTGGAAGTAAAAGCTCAAAATCAGAGTGACCATAAATACATGAGGAGAAATTTGCAGAAATCTGGAAGAAGGAACTGGACTTACTACAAGTTGTAGAATGCCAGTTTGAGCCAAAATTTTAAGGGGAAGGCTGAATCCAGCTACTTGATGAGTTACACTAAGATGCTCAATCTCAGAACATTTTAAAATGTACCAAACTGCAGGAGGTTGCATGGAGACCTACAGAAGCAGCCAGCAGGAGAGGTGCCAATTACTCTGCTTGCACAAGAAACAAGTTGAGAACCATATGCCCCCCTCCTTCTTCACTCCACACTCTCCTAAATGGGTCTTCCTGTCCCAACCTCACCTAGGAATGGCCTTTGTCAACTCTCACCTCTTCCATGAAACTTTCTCCCAGGATTTTAACCTCCGATTCTTCTTTTCCAGAACTTCCACTTTACTTTTAATCAGAACCTCAGTTTAACCTTTGTTTTCAACTTTTTCCTGTTAAGTTCTTTGTCAAATTCAACCATAAATTTCTTGCAGACAAGAACCAAATCCTAAAAAAGGTGGGGAAGGGGAGAACCATCCTAAACATTTTATACTACAGCCAAAAAAAAACCAAACCCGTTGCCGTCAAGTCAATTCCAACTCATAGTGACCCCACAGGACGGAGAACTGCCCCATAGGGTTTCCAAGGAGCAGCTGGTGGATTCGAACTGCCAACCTTTTGGTTAGCAGCTGAGCTCTTAATCACTGCACCACCAGGGCTCCATATTACACCCAGAGCCTATTAAATTCTTGGCAGAGGACCAGCAGAAGCTAATGATGCAGAAGTTAACAAATGACCATCGATGATGATGTTCCTAAATCAAGGAACAATACAGGAGGAGGTTTGGGATTGGGGAGAGAAGATGGGATAATGAAGAATATAATTTGGCTCGGGACATGCTGAGTTTAGGATGCCTAAGAGCCATCTAGGTTACGATGTCAATAGTGTTTGGCTATGTGAGTAAGGAACTCAGAAGAGAGATCTAGGTTGGAGACAGAGATTTGGGAGTTTGAGGCATATCAATAGTAGCTAAAACCATGAGCATATATGAAATCACCCATAAATAGTATATAGAGGAGAGAAGGGAGGGGGTCAAGGACAGAATCTTAGGAAATGACT